GTTCTCCGACTGGTTTATGAATGTTAGAATTCTTGACATCTGATTTGTGTCCATTTATTCTTTTACGTAGAGACTGTCCAGTTTGACCAATGTACATGGCAGAGGGGCATTGCTGGCACATGATGGCATATATCACCTTGGTGGATGTGCAGGTGAACGAGCCTCTGATAGTGTGGCTGATGTTATTAGGCCCTGTGATGGTGTCCCCTGAATAGATATGTGGGCACAATTGGCAACGGGCTTTGTTGCAAGGATAAGTTCCTGGGTTAGTGGTTCTGTTGTGTGGTATGTGGTTGTTGGTGAGTATTTGCTTCAGGTTGCGGGGCTGTCTGTAGGCAAGGACTTTGCTTCATACACTTTTCATATATTATGATACTAATATTAATGAGACCAGATTGCGATATTTGAAAAGGTGTGAGGTTACAATTCAATAGGTGGCAACAAAAATATTTGCAGGTCACTTAAAACATTGTGATGTTGTGTCTCTTGGGATGTGGAAGACCCAGCATCAATTTCTTCCTCAGGCAGAAGGGGAGAAAATATTTGAACAGGGGTTTCCCAGATCTCATGTCAGTGCTTTAACCCCTGGGTTAAAAGTTACAAGGTGGGCATTACCTCCTCCTCTGGCTGTTTTGTGTGCAGTTAGGCACCTTCCCAGCTCATTCTCACAAGAAACAGATTGGGCCTCTAGGCTACCTGGCTCCAGGAGAAGGGTTCCCGTTCATGGACTTGGGGATGAACAGTGTCTGAGGAGTGGGGCTTAGTACACACCCCTCTGGTGAGTGTCTCCCATCAGCAAGTTTAGGTGGCTCCCCATCTAGCATCCTGGCTTTTATGGATCCCACTCTGTGGTGCCTCTCTCTCCCTGTTCATTGTATAGGGAGCATAAGTCTCTTACTCAAGCTTTGTGAATCACAGAGGTGTTCCTGTGACTTTTTAAGCACCAAAAACATAGGCAATGCAATGCTCAGCGTCACAACACCTAAGTCCCGTTGTAAATTTAGCGCTTAGGCCTTTTCTTCACTGTTAAAAGTGATTTATTTATTTTTTTAATTTCAGGGTAACTTAAGGTGCGGGAGCTATTCTGAGGTAAAAACACACCGAGGCCAAGGCACTTGGTTTTAGCAGTGAGGAAAAGGCCTGAGAAAATGTCTCTGGAATATCAGGGGGCGCTGTGCTTATGTGTTTGTACCAAAGTAGAGAAGTACAAATTTTGTTTTGAAAACTGGATCAATATGTGTAACAGTTAGGGATGTAAAAGTTTAACTGGTTAACCAATAAGCTTGATGCTTATCGGTTTCCGTTAACGACTAAACTCCGCTGCTGCCCTGTGCGCCCCAGGGTCCCAGCTGCCGCCCCGTGCGCCCAGGGGGCTAGCAGCTGGGACCCCAGGTGCACTGGGATGCTGGGCGTGGGTGGCAGCAGAGCGCTCGGGCGGCAGCGGAGCCCCACATAAAACATGGAGGTGCTGCAGCACCCCCTGCACCCCTAGTTCCCTGGTTAAACATTTAACCGATAGAATTTTAATAGGTTACACGGTTACTTTTTTTACACGCTATTTACATGCCTAGTAACAATGACAATGGAGGGAACAATATAAAAGGAACAATGGTTGATTTTCTGCCTAGTTGGTGTTTCATGTGCATTAAATTTCATGTTCAGTGTTTCATGTACATTAAATATTTGTTTATTATAGAAATTCTATGCAATTCTCTACAATGCAGAGTTCAATAAAGAAAAAACTACACCTCCATTCAGGTTTTTACTTACAATAGCCCTGATGTGCACAGTTGCAACACTCACACTATAAGAACTCTTATATTTACAAATATAGTTTATTAATACATTTAGCACAGTCACAAGCATCCCAACTTAGTAAGATAGATACACTACATCCGAAGAAGTGAGCAGTAGCTCACGAAAGCTCATGCTCAAATAAATTGGTTAGTCTCTAAGGTGCCACAAGTACTCCTTTTCTTTTTGCGAATACAGACTAACACGGCTGCTACTCTGAAACTACAGAATATACATCTGCACGTCCATTTACTCACACCATCTCCTGTAGAACAACCTGAAATGTTAGCCATCATCTTCATCATCGCCATCACCTTCCCCCTCATCACCAGTGGCCATCACTCTGGCACCTCCCAAGGACTACATCTCTCTCTCCTACTGCCCCTAGGCTGGTTGCCACTTTTATAATACGTTGTGCTGATGCCACTATGTTTGATGAATATTCAGTAGGGGGATTTTCCCCCTTTTCCTTATTTGTATTTCCTCGCCTTACTAATGTTGGAGTCTTTTTTTCCTATAGGTTAGTATATCAGTGATCTCAAATTATTATCACATACGTCAATTTGTTACCATAGCCCTTTTGTGGTTAGGTATCACATTTGTTATTTCTGTTCTAAATGGTTATTTCAGTTCTTTCCAAGTTGTGGTGTACCTGTTGAGTTTAAAATGGTATGAACTTAGGAAAGCCTATATGCCAACCTGCTTTAAGCCATCCTCTATATGAAAGGTCGCAGCCATACGTGGACCTTATGCTTTAGCTCATCATCTATCTAGGTGAAAGGTCCCAAACATATGTATGCTAACTTTGCCTTAGGTCAACGTACAGGATGTGGCCTGCAGGTCCCTTGTGTTACAGCCAAAATATTCTCTAATATAAACCTATTATAGTAAAACAAATAACCAAACCCATAAGAAGATATATAGGCAAGCAAGCAAGCTGGCCTTACATGTATCTCATGTACCTGTTATCTACATCAGTTCGTTGCCAGGACATTTCTGTGGTTGACTCATGTACCTGTGGTCAGAATTTCCCCTTAAACTCTATTTTCAGCTCCCCAAATACTTGGGGTTTTCGTTGGGTCGTTTATCTGTGCAAAGTTTATCTGTTCAAAGTTCACAGGCTACCCCTGCAGGGCAAGAAATCTCTGTCAGGCTCTGGGGTTGGGCTGGGGATGAGGGGTTTGGGGTGCAGGAAGGAACTTCGGGCTGGGGTGTGGGGAAAATGAGGGCTCCGGCTGGGGGTGGGAGAGGGGATGAGGGGGTTGAGGGGTGTGGGGGGTGAGGGCTCTGGCTGGGAATGAGGGGTTTGGGTGTAGGAGGGGGCTCCGGGCTGGGCCAGGGGATTGGGGTGCAGGTGTGTGTGTGTGGGGGGGGTATCAGTGGCGCTTATCGTGGCTCTGAGGAAGTGGCCGCCAGGTCCCTGCAGGCCCTAGGTGCATGGGTGGTCAGGCGGCTCTGTGCAGTGCACTCTGCCTTTGCACCCACAGGTGCTGCCCTCCACAGCTCCCATTGGTCACTCTTCCTGGCCAGTGGGAGCTGCGGAGCTGGTACTCAGGGCGGGGGCAGCGTACGGAGCCTCCCTGGCTGCCCATGCATCTAGGGGCTGCAGGGACCTGGTGTCCACTTCTGGGAGTAGTGCAGAGCCAGGGCAGGTAGGGAGCCTCCCTTAGCCTCGGGCTCCTGCTGCACCACCAACCAGACCTTTAACGGCAAAGGAAAAGAAAGAATGGTGGGGCAGAATTGTAAGGCATGGAAGGCACACAGAGCCTGGGACAATGGAGGACCCTGGTATGGGGAATGGAGGCACACAGATCCCCTCGCATGTGGCTGAGGGGGAAGTGAGGTGGCAAACTGGGCCCCTGATATGGGGGAAGGGTTGGGGAGGGTTTGTAGGGAGTCCCTGAAATAGAGTGAGATGGGATGGTGGCATAAAGGAAGCTTGGGGAAGGGAATGGAGGAATGTGTGTGCAATCAGCTTGGCCAATAGAAGCAATGGAGTTATGTTTGAGCCAATGAGTCAAAAGGCTTCTGAGCCTTGCTTGGAGATGGCCGCTTAGTTCTCAGATCATTCACTCATAGAAATGTAGTGCTGGAAAGGACCTCGAGGTTATCTAGTCCATCTCCCATGCTGAGGCAGGACCAGGTAAACCTAGACTATCCCTGACCAGTGTTTTGCAGCTTGTTCTTATAAACCTCCTATGATGGGGATTCCACAACTTGTGTAGGTAACCTGTTCTGGGCCTTAACTATCCTTATAGTTAGAAAGTTTTTCTTAATATCAAACTTAAATCTCCCTTGTTGCAGATTAAGCCAATTGTTTCTTCTGCTTTCAGTGGTCAAGGAGAACAATTGATCAGCATCCTCTTTAAAGGAGTCCTTCACATATTTGAAGATTGTTATCAGGTCCCCCCTCAGTCTCCCTTTCTCAAGACCAAACATTTCAGATTTTTTTATTCTTTCAGAAAGCCTATTTTATGAGGAATTTTTTTTTCTTTGCTCTCCTCTCCAATTTGTCTTAAAGTCTGGCACCTCAAACTGGACACTTTAAGAAAGTGATAAGGCATGTAAAAATAGAAAATATAACACTATAGAAATGACAAAGTTACAAAGCAGTAGCTAATAAGGCAAATCTTTAATCCACATGAACAAAAAAAGGATTGTCTCTGTCTCTCACTGTCAGTCCCTTCTACACTAGCCAACTATATACTTTGAAAAGGGAAAGCTGGAATATCCATATCTTATTGCTTATTACTGAAAAAGGAGAAGTAACTCAGGACATTGAGTGGGGGAGAAAAAAGGGGAAGTTCCTTACTCCAGCATGTTCCTGTTGTAACAAGCAGACCCAGAGTGGTAGAGTTTGCTTTAAGGTTAAAGCTTCCTGGTGAGGACTCCGCAGAATAATTTCTTCAGTCTGACTGGTTGAAAATGGAAAGAGCTATAAAGAACTCTCCTCCTTTGATAATCATTTTTTGCTGAAAAAGGAGGAGGAGCTCAGGACTCTGATGTGAGTGAAGTGGGAAGTTCTTCCCTGCAGCTGCAGACACAGAGCAATAGAGTTTGCTTTAAGCTCAGAGTTCCCTGTGAAAGCCTCTGAAGAAATAATTTCTTTGGTGCAATTGGTTGAAAACCGACTGTATTTGAAAGGTGTTTCCTGAGTTACAGAAGTATTTTACTCTATTAGAATCTTTCTGTTCTCCAATCTCTAGAAAGCACCAGGAAGAAACCCAATCAACTCAGAGACTCAGCAATGGCAAGAGGAACCACTGGAGTCCATGGCTAGACAAAGAAAACTGTACGTACTAATTTCCTTTTAGTTGCCATTCTGCCTAGTGATATTTACATCCAAACTTGCATTTCACACTGCTGTGCCTAGCAGAATGGGGTTGTGGTCCATGAGTAAACCTCTGAGGCACTGTGGTAATAAATACTACATTACAGGTCCACGTGTTGTAATAACTGGGGCAGTACAGGACTGTGGGAAAACTGCTAAAATTTATAAAATGTTCCAGTCACCTATAACAAATGCCAATGGGAAACGGTTCAAAAGGGAGACAGACAGATTGGGTTACTCCCAACAAACAGGCTTACTAATCTAACTCAAAAGTCTGTGTCAAGATCATGCCTGGTAAACAAGAGGAATGTGGAATCAGAAATCAATGGGGGAAGTTTTTCCATCCAGCCACAGTTTTAAGTTTGTTTTAGCTAAAAAAGTAGTGAGTTGTAAGTTCTTAGCTTTGTTAACCTCTGAGAGGTTTAACTGTGATTTTGAAAGCATCTAATCAAATAAGATTTGTAAATCCTATAACTCTAGGATTGTGTTACGATTGTGTCTGGTAAACTAGAGGAGTGTGGGATCAGAAATCACTGGACCAAAATTGGTTAAGGTTAAGGTATGTATTCAGCAGCTGAAAATTCTGGCAAACTAGCAATTGTTGTCCAAGTGTGTTTTAGCTTGTTTGATTGGGCTAAGCATGCAAAGTCATCTGCTAATGTTCTTATTTGAAAAATCAGAGCATTTAACAATTTTGTTTGAGAGTTATTGCTATTTTTAAAAACTTTTTACAAAAGCTTTGTTTCTCTTTTTCTTTTGTGTATTTTAAGGTTTGTAGTTTCTGTAACTGGTAATAACTTTGAACCTTCAATGTAAAGGCATTTTTAAGCAAAATGCAAAAGTGATAAAATAAAGTGTTTTAAATTGGTAAAGGTTAAGCTGCTAAAGCAAACTTCTGCTCAGACAACATCATGAGTAACTCTTTTTTAACTGAATGCCAGCTTAATTCAGGGAGGCTACTGCATTGACTATACATTGAGTTTTAAAGCATCGGAAATGGTTGTTGCAGCCCCCAAGTTTTTTGTGATTGGAAAAACAACACAATTTGTCGGTGGTTGTTTTTGTGTATGTGAATCAGCACAGTTCTAGTGATTCAGCTTAGATCTCTGGGAGGGGCTAAATTGCCTCAGTGGCTGTGAAATGTTGGTGGGCAAGGTCTATCATAGACTAAAATGCCAGTGTATTTTACTACCTTTGAGTGTTATAAATGGCTCATGGATGCAACAGTGGTTCTAAAGAATGTTAGCCTTCTACATCTTTTTAAGAGGAGGAAAAATATAGGGCTAAAATCCCTCAAGGGGATTGCAAGTCAGCAATTTTAACCACTTGTGTATGATATTTTCATGGTTTATGTAAATGTGCAGCTTTAAATGAGGAGGAGGGTGTAGCCTATAGTATTAACCTGCTTGCTTGCATACATATAATCTTTTTTTATAGTTTAATATAAATCTATAAACCTATTACAATAAACCAAATACTTAAAGTAAGTTTGGCTGTAATGCAAGGGACCTACAGGCCATATCCTGTATGTTGAGCTAAGGCAAAGTTAGCATATCTATGTCTGAGACCTTTCACCTAGATAGATAGATAATGGTAGAATGGCATAGGGGGTTTCCAAGTCTGTACCCTCAAATTTAACAGGTACACCACAAGGAAAGAACTGAAATAACCGGGAGAATAAAAATAACATGTGTGTATATGATCTAATGTCATTAATATGTATGTACATGTCATCAATATACACAAACATACTAGCCCATGGAGTAAGTGTACCCTAACATTTTTGTGGGTGGGAAATAAAGTTTGAGCATAGAAGGAGGGTTCAGACACCTGCGCCCTGTAAAAGAGGGCCTTGCTAGAGAGGCTGTACTTGTTTTTCTTAGAACTTTCTAAGTTCCAAGGGGACTAGGCTAAACTTGGTTTCCCTAAGCTTTTGTTCTTAATTTTCTGTATTAGCTTTTAATTTTAAGTTTAAATTAGTTAAGTAAACTCTAAGTTAGCTTCGATAGCTCTTAGCTCTAGCTTCTTCTAAGCTTTGCGCCTGTCACTCGAACCTGAACTGCCAAACGCGAGGCTGATCCTGTGTCTCTCACCACTGGGTTATCAAGGAAGGGTGTGAATATATTAAGCAAAGCTTTGTAGCATATAATACCATGTGTATCTTTTGAATAGCACTAATACAATTGTAACTTTGTAACTCTGACTATTTTACCATTTAATTACTACTTCATTTATCTTAATAAAAAGTCTTTAAGGCTATATCTGTCTCAGTGTAAGCTTCCTATCATACCCCTAGGGTCCTTTGTAAATTCTGTGGATACTAATTTGGGACAAGAACCTTATTATCTTCTAATCAAACAAACTGCTGAGCCTAAAACCCGTACTATCCAAATTAGTATTATTAACCTCCTAAATCAAGCAACAGACTGGCGAGCCAGGTAGGACACTCAAAGAGTGTGTGACAGGGATTTTCAGGGATTCCAGGCATCTTTAGACCCCTGGAAATCTCACCTGAAGCATAAGTGAAGAGTTAGAATTAGAGAGCAAGATTGTGTGTTTTACTCACTCACTCTTAAGAACACAGGAACCTGATTTTCTGTGACTGCTTCTTGGCAGCGATCCCAGAATTTCCTGTTATGTACTGTAATTAGACTTAGAGTTTTAGCTTAGAGGTTTTGAATTTAATCTTGCAAGATTAAAGAGTAATAGTGTTATTATTTAAAGTGATACATGCATTTAAGGGGCTTTGTTGAAGGTTGAAGTTATAATGAATGGCTCCAATAAGATATTAGCAGTAGCATCAGGCCCGATGACCCACACTAGTGGTGGCAGGGGAGTTAATAAATCTATATATTAATTGCTGCCAAGAGGCTGCAGTAACTCAGAACTTGTATGTTTCGAGTTACCTTATTTCAGTCCCCTCAACTCTCCTGGGCTGCACCTCTGATCTGTCTGCCTCAGTTTCCCCCAGCTGTTTGGCAGGCCCTGACAGAGGGAAAGAGACCTCTCGAACAGCTACAAGCCATCGAGGGAAGAAAGGAGAACACGCCCCCACCCCTCTATCATTTACTTGGGACTTATTGAACTAAGTGTAAAAAACAGTTTAGGGTGTTGTTTCCTGTCGTTTCTGTGAAGAGACGCCTTCAGTTTCAAAGTAAAGAACAGCAGAGTGTTCGTTATATAGTTTATTACACAGGCTCATCAGTAGTGAAGTTTTAGAATTGAAATAAGTTCTACGTTACGTGTTAAGATGAGTGGAGCAAGGTCAAGAGTAGAGTCTGTTGGAGTTACCCGCAGTCCGGCTTTAAAAAACTTTGCCAGAAAATACATTCAGGAACATGGAGGAGGTTTAGTACAACTGAGAAATAGCTAAATGATCTCGAAATATTGTAACCCGTGGGGTTTTGTAAGTGAGGTCTTTAATGTAGAAACAGAGTAAAAAAAAAGAAAGGCTAAACTGGTGAAGGGAATAGCTGTTGAATGTCTGCTCGTGGCTTGTAGTTTGCTGGGAAAGAAATTGAATAAAAAATTAGAGTTACTCAGAAAAGTCCAGCAAACTTTGGATGAGAGAGGAAAGGTTATTCAGGATTTAACAAATCGGCTACATGTAGCGTCAGAGAAGCGGTCAGTACTTTCCAAAAGAAGCAGGAGATAAAGAAAACGTTAAAACGGTGCAGGTACCAAATACAGGAAGCAGGAGAGGAAGCACGTTGTTGGCAGGAGCAAGTGAATGCCAGCTTAAAATCGCTGGACGGCTACAAATCAGACCAAGGTCGGCTGTTGAAAAGAATCGAAGAGTTGGAAAAGACAGAAAATGTGTTAGAGGATGACAAAAAATCAGTTCCTATCCCTATTGGCATGGTGAAACTGATGAAGATAGAGAAACCTGCAGGGCCAATTACTAAAACTAGGGTGAGAGCGTTAGTTCAGGCTGATACAGTATCTTTAGGAGTGGAGTTGGAGATTGAGTCTCAGAAGCCACTGGCATGGTGTCTCCAGTGGAGGGGTATGATTTAAACAAAATAGTGGCTAATCATGCAAACCAACCTGAGTTACAGGCTTTACTTCGCAAGCATGCGGATGCCTTTGCTAAACACAAACATGATTGTGGATGTATGGCAGTCACTATTGTTGTAAAAGGACAAGATGTATCAGCCCAGACCAAACTAGACAAACCCATACTTAGAAAAGACTATCAAGTCTTTGCTGACACAGGAAGTACTACGTAGATGTACTTCCACTGGCAATTCCCCTATTTGGCCTGTGAAGAAACCAGATGGTTCTTGGCGTCTCACAATTAATTACAGACATCTAAATCAGGTCACTTGTGCCCCTACAGTGGTCAAAATGCCAGATATAATCGAGTCCTTTGATCCAGAGGCTGTGTGGTTTACTGTCCTTGACATCAGTAACAGCTTTTGGACATTACCATTGGCCCGCATTTCACAGTACCGTTTTGCATTTAAGTTTCCAGGGGGTCCAGTATTCCTAAACATGTTTACCCCAGGGATATAAAAATTCTCCAGCTTTATTCTATGCGCAAATGAGGTGGGTACTGTTGCAATTTTCTAAACCAACTGTTCTGTTTCAATACGTAAATGACCTTTGTTTAGCAACACAAACCAAGAAGGAGCATCTGAAAAGGCTTGTCAAGCTCCTGCAGATCCTAAAGGAAGCAGGACTAAAATGCAATCTGGCCAAGGCACAGCTAATGGCCGACCGTGTCTCTTTCTTGGGCTTGACCCTGACAAAATGAGGTAAAACCCTGGTGTAACAAAAAGTAAATGCAATTCAAACATTGCCTTTACCACAGGACCGAACGGCTTTAAAATCCTTTTTGTGTTTAACTGGGTACCACAGGAATTTCATTCTCAGTTTTGCTTCCATTGCAGGTCCCTTGTACCAACTGTTAAAGAAAAGTATCCAATGAAAATGAACTGAACAACGCATGGAAGCAGTATCCCAGCTAAAACAGGCCATTGTCAAGGCTCTGGTGTTGATCACTTCAAATCCTAAGATATTCTATCATCTAAAGGTAGTGGTAAGCATTAATACATTAGCGGCTGTGGCTTCACAAGAGAGGCATGAAAAAATCAGACCTGTGGCCTATGCCTCATGTTTAATGTCATCAATTAAACTTAAGTATAACAATTGTAAAAGTACCTATCGGCCACCAGTTAGGCCATACAACACTTTTATTTTTTAATTGGCCTCAGCCCAATCATATTACACTCATTGCACACTCCCCTTCAGTTCTTACTGTCCAATAGGGTATAAGATGGGCAAGTCTCAAATGCTTGCCTAGCCCACTGGGCATTGGTACTGCAAAAACTATTGCAGTAAAACCTGTTAGGACACCATCTTTGTTACCAACCGCCCTACTGTACCAAGGGGAGCCACATGTGTGTCCCAATCTTAAGCAGTTGAATCTAAGGGGGAAGGAAAAAAAAAACCTTTTCCAACCATTAATCCAGAAAACTAGTTATTTACCATCAAGGCAAACCTTATACCGGACTTAAAATCTATGCAGTTCCTCCTGAGGAGAAAAAAGAGCCTTGGAAGAAGGCATATTCATGCATTCCACATTTGGCTCAATATGCTAAATTAGCAGCGGTGGCTTGTGTGTTGGAGTACTGTGTGCAGTTCTCCATCACCACATACCAAAGTATCTGTCTGTTTGCAAACTCCGTATGGGTATGCAATTCTCTCGCAAAGTTTCTACCATGTTGAAAAACAAATGGGTTCACATCTTCTAATGGCTCACCTATTAGGTATGCATCGCTGGTAAAATACATCCGCTGGTTAGCAGTAACAATCGCTGTGCCAGGATGCCAATTAAAGTAAAAAAAAATAAAAGCTCACTAAAAATTAAAACCCTATGCTACAAAAAATGGGGGAGCTAATAAATTAACTCCAAAAGAAGCCCAATCAGGGGAATTCTACTCTAAATTTTAGAATTTTAGAATTTTTCTATTCTAAAAAAAATAAATACATCACAAATATTCTGTTACTGCCCCTCGCCAAGGCATATTCTCAGGGAGGCCCTAAAATAGGTCGGCATGGAGCCCCAGTTGCAATACTTCAGGAACCACAAGCTAATCCAGAGGTGAGCAAACTATGGCCTGCAGGCCACATCTGGCCCACTGGACTGTCCTTCCCAGCCCCTGAGCTCCCGGACGGGGGAGGCTGGCCCCCGGCCCCTCCCCTGCTGTCCCCCTTCATCCCCCATCCCCCGCAGCCTCAGTGCACTGCGCTGCCAGCGCTCTGGCCTGCCGCTCCTGCCAGGCAAGGTGGCAGTGTGGCTGCGAGCTCCTGCTGCTCTGAGCGGCGTGGTAAGGGAGCAGGGAGGGGTTGGATAAGGGGCAGGGGGTCCCAGTGGGCAGTCATGGGACAGGGAGCAGGGGGCGGTTGGATGGGGCAGAGGTTCGGCAGGGGGACGGTCAGGGGACAAGGAGCAGTGGGGGTTGGATAGGGGGTGGGGTCCCGGGAGGGAGCAGTCAGGGGACAAGGAGCAGGGGGTTTAAATTACGAATTGCATTTGTTAAAAGGAGAGGTTGGGGGCGTGAGGGTTTCTTGAAAATTAAAAAGGGGGTGTGATGCCGGAAAGTTTGGGAACCAATGGTCTAGAAGGTTTACTTGGTCCTGTCTTAGCCCAGGAGATTGGACTGGGTGACCCTTTGAGGCCCCTTGCCACCCTACATTTCTATAATTCTATGAAATGCAAGTGAGAAATTAAAAGATCCTATGTTATGCTTAGGTAGTTTTATATTTGGTATGTATAACCTTGCAATTCCAATTGTGAATGCAAAGTCAGTCTAACATCCATAAATTGGAGTATTAATTAGATTCAACAAGGAGTTTTGGAGTTAAATGTTTTGGGGTTACTTATTGGAACTATCCCTTTATGTTATTGCTTCCATAAAATTTAATTTAAGGTAAAAATAGAATCATAGAATATCAGGGTTAGAAGGGACCTCAGGAGGTCATCTAGTCCAACCCCCTGCTCAAAGCAGGACCAATCCCCAACTAAATCATCCCAGCCAGGGCTTTGTCAAGCCTGACCTTAAAAACCTCAAAGGGAGGAGATTCCACCACCTCCCTAGGTAACGCATTTCTGTGCTTCACCACCCTCCTAGTGAAATAGTTTTCCCTACTATCCAACCTAAACCTCCCCCACTGCAACTTGAGACCATTGCTCCTTGTTTTGTCAACTGCTACCACTGAGAACAGTCTAGATCCATCCTCTTTGGAACCCCCTTTCAGGTAGTTGAAAGCAACTATCAAATCCCCCCTCATTCTTCTCTTCTGCAGACTAAACAATCCCAGTTCCTCAGCCTCTCCTCATAAATCATGTGTTCCAGTCCCCTAATCATTTTTGTTGCCCTCTGCTGGACGCTTTCCAATTTTTCCACATCTTTCTTGTAGTGTGGGGCCCAAAACTGGACACAGTACTCCAGATGAGGCCTCACCAATGTCAAATAGAGGGGAACAATCACGTCCCTCGATCTGCTGGCAATGCCCCTACATATACATCCCAAAATGCCATTGGTCTTCTTGGCAACAAGAGCACACTGTTGACTCATATCCAGCTTCTTGTCCACTGTAACCCCTAGGTCCTTTTCTACAGAACTGCTGCCTAGCCATTCGGTCCCTAGTCTGTAGCTGTGCATTGGGTTCTTCCGTCCTAAGTGCAGGACCCTGCACTTATCCTTATTGAACCTCATCAGATTTATTTTGGCCCAATCCTCTAATTTGTCTAGATCCCTCTGTATCCTATCCCTACCCTCCAGCGTATCTACCACTCCTCCCAGTTTAGTGTCATCCACAAACTTGCTGAGGGTGCAGTCCACACCATCCTCCAGATCATCAATGAAGATATTGAACAAAACCGGCCCCAGGACTGACCCTTGGGGCATTCCACTTGATACCAGCTGCCAACTAGACATGGAGCCATTGATCACTACCCATTGAGCCCGACTATCTAGCCAGCTTTCTATCCACCTCATAGTCCATTCATCCAGCCCATACTTCTTTAACTTGCTGGCAAGAATACTGTGGGAGACCGTGTCAAAAGCTTTGCTAAAGTCAAGGAATAACACGTCCACTGCTTTCCCCTCATCCACAGAGCCAGTTATCTTGTCATAGAAGGCAATTAGATTAGTCAGGCATGACTTGCCCTTGGTGAATCCATGCTGACTGTTCCTGATCACTTTCCTCTCCTCTAAGTGCTTCAGAATTGATTCCTTGAGGACCTGCTCCATGATTTTTCCAGGGACTGAGGTGAGGCTGACTGGCCTATAGTTCTCCGGATCCTCCTTCCCTTTTTAAAGATGGGCACTACATTAGCCTTTTTCCAGTCATCCGGGACCTCCCCAGATCGCCATGAGTTTTCAAAGACAATGGCCAATGGCTCTGCAATCACATCCGCCAGCTCCTTTAGCACCCTCGGATGCAGTGCATCCGGCCCCATGGACTTGTGTGCGCGTCCAGCAAAAGAAACAGTGAAAAAGCAAGAGCACCAGCTGCATTTCTGGGTGTGCAGCCAAGAGTTGATTGTACTCTAAAAGAGGAACTAAGGCCTGATCTCCACTAAAACTTATGCCGGCGTCGGTAATTAAAGATTGCTGGCCAATGTCTTCAGACAAAAGCACCAAGGGAATTTGTAAAGATTTAGTCCATACCTTGATTATACTAGCATAGTTTGGAAATTACTACCCGCTAAGTAAGAGATGGCTTAGCAAGCAGGCACCCTTGTCCAGATGATCAATGTGAAATGTAAAACAAAGTGTGTCTTCAGTTTTGAGGGTCAAAACTTTTTTGATCTGAATATGACAAATACATCTTGAAACATGAAGCTGGACACAGGTAAATCATACTGACATACATCAGACTGGCTTTCTCATTTAACAAGAAACATAGTACAGATGGTTTTCTGGGTATTTTAATGTTACTCCAGAGTTCAGCATCTTCTTATGACAAGGCTTTGTCTGACACAGAGGCCAAAGGTAACCTAACCGTTCTGATATGATGTTGACTGGAGCCCCTTTATGGGAAAAGCACTCAATTAAATCAAACTAGAGCTAATCTCTCACTACCAAAGACAAGTACACTGGAAAATGTAGAGCACGGGTATAAAACTTTGTTTGGGCCAAAAAGGGTCTTGAAAGAGGAACAGTTAAATCTGGATCTGATTGAGGTTCAAACAAAAAGATTTTAATTAAATAAAATTCTGTTAATTCATACTCTTGAGAAAATTGGATACCCCTTTGAGTGATGCTCCTCAAATGTAGAGAGATTATGTTACAAGGGAAGCTCTTTCAGGAATCAAATGTCATTTTTCTCTCTTTGTACAGCACCCAATACAATGGAATCCTGGCCTATGACTAGGACTCCTGGGCTCTAGGGTAATACCAATAAATAATAATAATCTTAATTCAAAAGCATAAAAAGAGCCAACTACCTGCATGAGTGCAATTGTGATCTGATATTCCTAGGTGCCATGACCAGTCCAATAAAAGCCAGAATTGAGGTAACATCACCTGAGTGCGGAAAGGGTTCACTAGGAAGAAAAAAGCAGCACAGGAAGGAAGAAGGCTTGGTTTGGGCAGAAGGCTACAAGGAAGAAATACAAAACGGAGGGATCTCTTCTAGTCATCAATGGGCAGAACGCAACTGATATTGGTGAAAACTGAAAGATGGAAATGTGGGGGAGACACAGAGCCCCTTTCATGTGTGTGGCAGGCCCATCGGCTTTCAATAACTCTGTTTAGTAGAGAATCTGAGAGGCACTTGTCACTGCCCCTCAGATTATACCTTTGTCCCTCACACAGAGCTAACAACATATATGTTTCCCAGGTCTCAGCTTGTGTGATTGGAAGAGAAGGGATTTCTGAGACGATGGAGCCGCTGTCCAGCTCAAGGTCTCAGAGCTTCCACCACCCAGGACCACAACTGAGCTGTGACCTCAGAGAGAAGCTGCAGTATTCACAGCAACTAGGTAATACGTTGTGGGTGGAGATGTGGTGATGTTGCGGAGTATGGATATCACAGCATGGAGGTTTCAGAATAGCAGCCGTGTTAGTCTGTATTCGCAAAAAGAAAAGGAGGACTTGTGGCACCTTAGAGACTAACCAATTTATTTGAGCATAAGCTTTCGTGAGCTACAGCTCACTTCATCGGAGCATGGAGGGGAGTCCCCAAGGCAGCCTGTTTGAAATCATCGGAACAGCATTTGCTTGTCTAGTGGCATGTGGAGGGTGGGTGAATCCCTGTTCCTAGTAGAGTCGTGAGGTCCAGGAGCGTATGTGTCTGTGTGGGTCCCTCTTACGCAGTGGTTCTTAACCTGGGGTGCATGCACCCCCTGGGGGTGCGAGACGCCCTTTCTGGGGGTGTGAGACATGCCAGATTTTTTTAGAAGGTAAATCATTGAAAACACAAATTAAGCACAGGCACATAAGTACAACTGCTTTGTTTCATGAAACCTATGTATTTATTAGCATTATACATTTTTTAACGATGACTGTAATCTACAAACAAAAAATTTATTTTCAAGTTTTTAAGCTAATTGTAGTGAAATTATCTCGCTACAAAATACAGTGTACCGGCAGTTGCGGGGTATTTCTTGATGCGTACACAGACGATGATGTGGCACCACTGTGGCTTTGTTTGAATTCAGTTAGCTGCTAACTGTTAGCGCGTTGGCTACAGTTTACTTCCACAGCAAAACTCCAACATCTCTGGGAAGTACTTGCCTATTTTTGGGTGCCCACTGTACTATTATTTGTGGTGAGTAATAACATAAAACTATTTTACATATATTTAATATGCATTTAAAAGTGTATAGGTCCCCCTATCTTTATATATATTTTTTCATTTCAGTAACCCTTGCCACGTCCAAAGAAACGCAAATGGAACGACAAAATTACTGCGAAATTAAAATAAATATATAATTCTCTCTTTCATTCTATAGTTATGATATATCTAGGTTTAAAGAACTGACCTACTTCAACGATTTTTGATAAGCGAGAACATATTTTGAGAACCAAAGGGGTGCAAGCTGCAGTGAAGGTTAAGAACCACTGCTCTAACGGTATCTTTGTCATCCTTTAGATCTTCCTGTGACCTATTTGATTGTTTCTTACGATAAGGGGGATGAAGGAGACCAGGATATGGTGGCCTCGCTCCATAGGTTCAGCTTTATGGTGCGTTGTGAAACGGTCCGCGCTGTTCCTCCTGCTGGGCCATGCTGCTTCCTTGTCTGTCCTCGCTTGTTGCTCTCACCTCCTCCTGGCTCCTCCATTGCTCAAGGGTCTTTCCAACTTTTTCTTCCCCATCAATAAAATAATCACACCCCTTTCTTTGGGAGGTGCCTTGTGCATATGGAGCTTTTCCAACATCCTGGATAGCTCACTTCATGCCCCTCCAGTTGCTCAGGATTAGCTCCTGGCAGTACATCCCATGACTGAGCGGTGAGACTATCGTGGGAACAGCATGTGCTGAGTGGGGCTCCCTTGTGGCTCCAGGTGCTTGCTTGAGTGGCCTGGATTGGGACTAAGAGCTCTGAGGGGATGGGTAGGCTGACTCTGGCATCTCTTGCTGTGTGGAGGAGGATGAGATAGTGGGAAATGGGATTCCTTCCCCTCCTCCAGTGCTGCGTTGATGGTGATGGCTCTGCCCTTTGCTGCTCAGCTTGTGCCTGAATGGTGGGATTGTGGCCAGACCAGGCAGGTGCTGAGTGGAAGACCCATGTCATTTCAGATGCCAGTGACGTTTGAGGAGGTGGCCGTGTACTTCTCTGAAGATGAATGGGCTCTTTTAGGTGAAAAGCAGAAGGAACTCTACAGAGATGTCATGCAGGAGAATTACAAGACTCTCATCTCGTTAGGTGAGGAGTTGCTATCGTCCCCTTAGTGTAGACATGGCCTAAATCTTTTATAAGCAACACAGCTCATTTCCCACCATACAGCCTGCTTGCTAAAATGTGATACACGAATCTTTTATAAACTATATGGATTATGTCTTTCCCCTTCAGCAAAGAAAATCTTGGAATGTTCTTTGTAGTTAAGTGATGGACGAATACTTAGAATCATAGAATATCAGGGTTGGAAAGGACCTCAGGAGGTCATCTAGTCCAACCCCCTGCTCAAAGCAGGACCAATCCCCAATTTTTGCCCCAAATGGCCCCCTCAAGGATTGAACTCACAACCCTGGGTTTAGCAGGCCAATGCTCAAACCACTGAGCTATCCCTCCCCCCAACTTAACACGTTGTGATGCATGTACCTCTTTCCAATGAGCAGGATTTACAATCGCTAAACCAGATGTGCTGTCCCAGATGGAGCAAGGGGAAGAGTTGTGGATCCCAGATATCCAGGGCTCTGAGGAAAGGGAAATCCCAAGAGGCACTATGACAGGTGAGGAATGAGTGACACCAACTGAGAAACAATCTGGGACTGGGGAAAGCTGGGGTCCCAGCAAACCCACTGAGTCCTCCCCCTGTTCTGTCCCATCTCATCTGGCTCACTGTTGTGCCCTGTCCTCCTGGCTCCCAGTCGTTCTGCCTGACCCCTGGCAGAAGCCTTTTTCTTAGGGCTCAGATGGGACTTTGAGGCAGAACTTGCCCCTCCTCTGCCACTTGGTGGAATATACTTCCTGCCTATCAGGTTCTGTTATCAATGATAAATCCCTTTGCCGCCCCCTCTGTCTCCAACGCATGGAGTGAATCCCATCTGGATTCTCTCTCCCAACAGGTACCGGGACGGCAAGTGAAAACAAGGAGGAGAGTCCCCAGCAGGAAGGCGCTGTGGGAGTGAAGCTGCACAGGATGTTCTCAGGAAGGCTGCGGTGCCCTGGTGGGGCAGATGCCAGTAAGAGTCAGGACAGAGTGGGGCGGCAGAGAGGAGACTCTCCAGGCAGGAGTAATTCTACTCACAGCAAAAGAGGTTTGAGGAAATCCACAGACACCAACGCCCACCCGGTAACCCCTATTGGGTTGACCGCAAATACCATCAATGAACTGGGGGAAAGAATCAGTAACAGCTCGCTCCTTTTTCAACATTGTCAGGAAACTAGTGTAGAGAAGAGTGCCGTCAGGTGTAGTGAATGTGGCAAAAGCTTCACTCGACAAGAATACCTTCAGATACATCTGAAAATTCACAGAGGGGAGAGACCATATAAATGTAACAAATGCAAGAAAAGCTTTAGACACAAGACAAGCCTTGTTCTTCACCGTTACACAGTCCACAAGTCGGAGAGACCCCATAAATGTCCAGACTGCAGCCAGCTCTTTATCCTGAGAGAGAGATTTATTCAGCATCAGAGAATCCACAACGAAGTGGCATCTAGAGGGTTCAACGATGGGATTGTGAGTGAGAACAGGGACAAGAATCCCCAGAAGAAGGGGTCTGGGAGAGCAAAGCCAGACATTATGTTGTCGGGGAGACCCCAGTGCCCTGAGTGGGGAGATGCCCGTGAGAGTAGGGGCAAGGTGAGAGAGCAGCATGGAGACCCTCCAGATTGGAGACAAAGTAAATCCACTTGCAGCAAAACAGGCTTAAGGAAATCCAAAGACGCCAGCACACAGCATAGAGACTGCATGGAGAAGAGACCAAATACAGGCACTGAACTTGGGGAAAGTTTCAATAACTGCTCTCTCCTTATTAAGCATCATCAAACTGGTGCAGAAAAGAGTGCTTACAAGTGTAGTGAGTGTAGGAAAAGCTTCACTCAAGAAAAATACCTTCAGATACATCTGAGAACTCACAAAGGAGAGAGACCTTATAAATGTAAAGAATGTGGGAAAAGCTTCAGTCGGAGTTCAGTGCTCAAAGATCACTCCATGAGTCACAGAATGGAACAACCTTATAAATGTACTCAGTGTGGGAAAAGATTCAGAGAGAAGACAATCCTTGTATATCATCTTTACATAGTCCACAGGGTGGAGAGACCATATAAGTGTCCATACTGTGGCCAGCAATTTGTCCTGAGAGAGAGACTTATTCAGCATCAGAGAATCCACAAAGAAGAAGAACCTAGAGGGTTTAATGATGGGATCATGAGTGAAGATGAAGCTAAGAATCTCCAGCGGGAAGGGCCTCCCGGAGCAGAACCACAGAGGACATTCTCAGGGAGACCCCGAGGTCCTGAGCAGGGAGAAGGCTGTGGAAGTCAGGGCGTGGCACGAAGGAAGCAGAGACACCCTGCAGGCAAAAGAGGCAATATATCTAATCAATGTGAAAGAGATTCCAAGAAATTGAAAAGCACCATCACGCACCAGGAGACCCATACTGGAGCACAAACAAACACAAATGGTGACAATGAGAAAAGCTTCAGTAGCAACTCAGCCCTTTCTGTGCATCAGAAAATCCACCTGGAAGGGAAACGTTACAGCTGTGCTGAATGTGGGAAAAGCTACCACCAGCATGCTCACCTTCGAAGGCATCAGAAAAACCATACAGGAGAGAGACCCTATGTATGTGCTGACTGTGGAAAGAGCTTTGTGTACAGGTCAATACTCAGCAGACATGAAAGGACCCACAAAGAGGAGAAAAATTATAGCTGCACTGACTGTGGGAAAAACTTCAGTGAGTACTCATACCTTACTATGCATCAGAGAATCCACAGGGAGGAAAGACCCTATCAGTGTCCTGACTGCGACAAAAGCTTCAGGCTGCGAGGACACTTTACCAGTCACTGTAGAACCCACACAGGGGACAAACCTTATAAATGCACCGAATGCGGGCAAGGCTTTGGGCGGAAATCAACCCTGACTAAACACATGAGGATCCACACCGGGGAGCGGCCCTATAAATGCACGCAGTGTGAGAAAAGCTTTCGTCAGAAGTTCGCCCTTTCCCAGCATCAGTTAATACACCAGGGAGAGAGGCCTCACAAATGTACTGAATGTGGGAAAATCTTTCTTCAGAAGTCCCACCTTACCACGCATCAGTTAGTGCATCAGGGAGAGAGACCTCACAAATGTACTGAATGTGGGAAAAGCTTCAATGACCGATCAAATCTTGTTAAACACTTGGCAAAACTCCACTTGAAAAAGAAACCCCATATAGCAAATGTGGCAAAGAGTCCTGTGGCACCTTATAGACTAACAGACGAAAGCTTATGCTCCAATACTTCTGTTAGTCTATAAGGTGCCACAGGACTCTTTGCCGCTTTTACAGATCCAGACTAACACGGCTATCCCTCTGATACCATACAGCAAATGTAGCTTCAGATTAAATAGATCTACAGTTGTAATAGAAAATAATGGAGTGGTACTTTTTTGATTCTGGTGAAACACTTTTCCTTTCATACTTATTCTAAAATACAAGGTTTAAGGAGGATGGGTTGGTAGTATTGCCTAGTTTCTGATTATGGGAGTAAGATGTGTGAGGGGGACAAAGCTGGTGAAGAGAGGAACTGATCTTTCAACGGTTTTGGGGATGGTTAGTGGGAATTTCAGGGGAGTGGAATTGAATTTTGCAAGTTGACCAGCGGCATGCCATCTATGGATTGCATTCCCATGTGAGCCCTGAATATGACTTCCTGACTGGCTGTGCCAGTGGGACGATTCCATCCGGCCCCTGAACACACTACAGAACAAAATAGCATCCTCCAGACATTATGAAGACACGGGTGGGTATTTTAACATGGCACTTTATAAATGGATTAAAACCTGGCGAACTGAGATGTGTCAAAATGTAACTGTAAACAGGAAATCCTTATTAAGCGGGTGTGTTTCTAGTGGGGTCCTGCAGAGATCGGTTCTTGATCCTCTGCTTTGAAACATTTTTATCAATGACCTGGAAAAAAACATAAAATGATCACTGATAAAGTTTGCAGATGACACATAAATTGGAGGAGTGGTAAATAATGAAGAGGACAGGTCACTGATTCACAGTGAACTGGATCACTTTGCAAACTGGGCAAAAGAAAACTATATGCATTTTAATGTGGCTAAACATAAATATATACATGTATGAATGAAGAACGTAGGCCATACTTAAAGGATGTGGGATTTGATCCTGGAAACGTGGGACTCTGAAAAAGATTTGGGGTGTGGTGGATAATCAGCTGACTATGAACTCCCAGTATGATGCTGTCTCCAAAAGAGCTCATGCAATCCCGAGATGCATAAACAGGGGAATCTCGAGTAGGAACAGAGAGGTTATTTTACCTCTGTATTTGGTACTGAGGCAACTGTGTTTTTTAAACATGTCTCAGGGTTTATCTACTCCGGAAGTTTTACTGGTATAATTTTGCCAGTATAGTTATAGTGGCATAACTTCCTGTGAATAAGTGTGTCAATATGGGGCGTTATGAGTGCATCTTCACCTGGATCTTCCATCCCCAGCAGTTCAGTCTATTCCATGGCTCTTGTAAGGGGTTAGGCACACTGTGATTTTTCCTGTGTGGCAGGTACCCTTAATTGTGCCAGTGTAACTGGTAATGCAAGTCCTACTTCCTCCCTGAGCTGTGCATACCAGAGTCCACTGACGGTGTCTGAAAAAATACCCATAATCTTTGGTACAGGGACCTGCTGCTCATCCTGCATGGAATTGCTGCCCAAAATGTTTCACAATTTACTCCTAAAAACAGAGTTGGGCAGAGTGCTGGGTATGAACTGGAAAACAGAAAATGCCCCGTATAACTTACAGCTGGTTAAGCCTGAGTGTGATTTGTTAGCTTATGAACTGAAGGCCCCTAAGGCTTTGCAGCTATACAAAATGTATAAAGGATATGTGTGACAGATTGCAATGCTTGCTGGTGAAAAAAGTAATGGAGAGGTACTGAGACTGATGTTTTAACCATTAATTGCAAGTCCTAAATATTTTGCTGTGTAAGGGACATGCGAGTGGTATGAACAAAACAAGGAAGTAACTAGGTTGTAAACAACTGAGGTATATGTGATGGTATAAACAAATTGGAACAGACACAGATGTTGACACTTAAAGATAGGTCAGAAAAGATTTTTACGGCTTGCCTTGGGACAAGATTCCCATGATGCTTTGCAGTTAACATAAAGCTATCTAGCAAAGAATAGAATTTTACAATGCAGTAACTGATGACATGTTTTATATAAGATATATTTTTGCAATGTATTAACCGCAACATATTTGCAAGATATGTAATGAATAAAAATGTCCAAAAAAGGCCATAAACAATGATTAACTACTTGGTGTTGAAACTCTTGGAAAATTACAAGGAAGAGGGAACTGAGGAAAGAGCCTTAAGGGCAGGTCTACACTATGGGGCTAAGTCGACCTAAGTTACGCAACTCAAGCTATGTGAATAACGTAGCTGGAGTCGACGTGCCTTCAGTGAATTTATTATGGTGTCTACACCGTGCTGGGGTTAATGGGAGAAACTCTCCCATCGGCTTACCTTATGCTCCTTGTACTGGTGGAGTACCAGAGTCGACGAGAAAGCAATCGGCGGTCAATTTAGCGGGTTTTCACTAGACCCACTAAACCGATCCCCGGAGGATCAATCGCACATTGATACACTGTAATGTAGACAACGCCTAAGATATGGAGAACTATACACCAAAAGGAGGCAATAAATAAGAGTTGGAATGTTGAACTAAGAAGAGTTTCAAAGTAGCAGCCGTGTTAGTCTGTATCCGCAAAAAGAAAAGGAGTACTTGTGGCACCTTAGAGACTAACAAATTTATTTGAGCATAAGCTTTCGTGGGCTACAGCCCACTTCATCAGATGCATAGAATGGAACATATAGTAAGAAGATATATATATATACACACACACACAGAAAACTGTATATATACACATACAGAAAACATGAAAAGGTGGAGTAAGAGGCTAATTAATTAAGATGAGCTATTATCAGCAGGAGAAAAAACCTTTTGCAGTGATAATCAAGATGGCCCATTTAGACAGTTGGCAAGAAGAGTTACCAGGGTATAACTACCACAAGAAATCATAAGAAAGCAAGACCATTGGCAGACAGGATCCAGACTATCTGAAGCTATGGAGAAGGCCTTCCACAGTTGTAGGTAATTGCATGCCTCTCTGTATGTGCTGTCTTGACTGTTTAGTAAATTCATTCAAAGCTGACTTGTTAACCAAATCTAAATTTAAGAGAAGGCTATTCATTAAACATATAATCACACTTAAAATCCTTATCCATTATTAGCTATTCATTTATTAATTATTGACAAATTATTGGTTGATTATCAACACAAGAAATATGTAAACTACAGTCACTGGAAGACTGTTTTCTGTACTGGTAATGTCTGACCTTTCTGTATTATGCTGTTTTAGTGTTAATCAATAAAGTGATTGAGCTGAGTTCTCATTAGCTGATGACAAACTTAACCAGCAACCGCCTCAAACCACTTACAAGATCACATTTCTAGCTGTAATGGGAATGGGGCCTCAAAGTGACTGGATTTCATGAGGACAGAGGACAGTGTCCCAGCTGTGTGAGGCATTAAGGGGAAGGGATTACAGATCAAGGAAGAGATGCCTTTTTTAAAATTTCTCAATAGACTGATTTAACAAAGGTAGCACTACTTTACACTATTAACTCTGGGTGCTATTAATTAAACATGAATGCCCCAGTGAAAGTGGGTGGGCCTGTTACGAAACAGTGAGTTTGTGTATTTCTTTGGTGGTGCTGGGGACTGTTGTGACATTGTAACTCACAACAAAAACACCCGCATGGCTCCTAGTACTAGGGAACACGTTGCTTTTTCTCTGCAAGGTTGTGGGAGTAAATCCCTGGTTCCTGAAGAATTTCTAAGGGGATCCGTTTTTGTTCAGCTGCCTGCTCACTCCTTCTCACTGGGAAGAGTCTGGGATCTGAGCCCCTCTTCTCTTACCTGTCTGCAAAATCAACTCTTTCTTCAACTGCCATGACGTTCAGTCCCAATAGCCACATCAGAGCAGACCAGTTGTTCAGCTAGTCCTGTGTCTGACAGCGGCCAGCGCTACACGCTTGGTTGGATCATGCAGGAAACCCCGTAGTGGACAATTATGGCAAAATCTGTCCCTAGCAAAAGTTTCTGCCTAATCCTGTCAACCAGTTGTTGGTTTGTGCCCTGAAACAGATTCGTCATATATACATTATATATTAGTTCAGCTAGTGTAACTCTGGAGGTTCTCATGATCTGTATTTCTATCTGACCCTTTTTCAAAATTCCATGAGGTCCAAGTCTCAATGCTATCTAGTGGAAATGAGTTCCATAGGGTTATATATCTATATATGAGATAATCTAATCTGATCTCCTGTATATCACAGGCTTCTACATTTCACCCAGCTACCCAATAACTTACTTCAGAGTAGCAGCCATGCCAGTCTATATCCGCAAAAAGAACAGGAGGACTTGTGGCACCTTAGAGACGAACAAATTTATTTGAGCGTAAGCTTTCGTGAGCTACAGCTCACTTCATCGGACGCATGATGGATTCATCCGATGAAGTGAGCTGTAGCTCACAAAAGCTTACGTTCAAATAAATTTGTTCGTCTCTAAGGTGCCACAAGTCCTTCTGTTCTTTTTGCCAATAACTTATGTTTGCCTAAAGAACACCTAGAAAGGCATCCAGCCTTGATCTGAAGACATCAAGAGACAGAGATCCACCACTTCCCTCACAAGTTTGTTCCAGTGGTTAATCACCCTCACCTTTAAAACTTGGGAATTTATTCCTAATTCAAATTTGTTTTGCTTCATTTTGCAGTCCTTGGCAGTGGCTCTTCCTCCATTACATTAAACAGCCCTCTAGGGCCCAGCATTTTCTCCCCGTAAAGGCATTTAAATTGTAATCAAGTCACCGCACCTCTGAATCTTCTTTTTGAGAAGCTGCACACATTGAGCTCTAAGTCCCTCACTGTGAGGTATTTTGTCTAGCCCTGTGATCATTTTGTGGCTCCTCTCCAGTGTTTCAACATGATTTGTAAAATGTGACTACAAGAACTGTACACAGTATTATCGTATCAGTCTCACCAATGTGGTACACAGGAGTAAAATCACTCTTGCCCTACTTATTACTCCTCTGATTATACATCCAAACATCACATTAGCCCTTTTCGCCACAGGATCACACTCGGGGCTCATGTTCAGATGTCTGTCAACTGTGACCCCTAAATCCTTTTCAGAGCCACTGCTTTCTAGGATACAGTTGCCCATTCTGCAGCCAAGACCAGCATTCTTAGGCGGACGACCTTGTGTTAGACCCGCAGTAGAGGTCTCCCTACGGGATGGGAAGCAAGTAGACAGCGGATGCTGTGTTGGTATATAATACTCTAAATGCTCTTTACTGATTACAAAACAAACCTTTCTCACTCCACATTCACACCCCAAACATACTATGCCAGAGTCCAAAGGTCAGAATGGTCCCAATGGTCAGTTGAGGTTCCTTCCGTCAGGATAAGATCATAAGATGCAGGGAGCCAGCAAAAACCACATCTATATCCACATGGGGCTCTGGATCAATAAACAATTCTGATTTGTAAAAATCATAGGAAACCATTTATACGCATTCCATTGTGTCATCCGTTCTTTGCCTTCGTTTACTAGTCCTTCTACCCACACAATTCCAAAGACACAATCCTGGGCAGGCCGCCATGATCCAATGTGCCATTTCCTCCAATTCTTATACAATTTTATATCAGTCCAGCTGGTGTTGTTTCCTTTTCTGATGATTTTCTGTATTTTTCTTGGAACATAAGATTGTTTTTGCCCAAATAGTTCTAATAGTCCTTGACCTTAAGTTCTTGCTTCAGTTGCCAACTTTCAACGCACGTATTCATGTCAAGTACGCGTCATTCATATCAGGCCTCAATGACCTATAACACATTACATGGTATATGAATCACGATGTTTGTATGTGTATGTATGTATATATATATATATATATATCCCAACACTTGTATGTGGCTGTATTGTTTGTTTGGTTCTCCTTGAATTGTTATTACCTGGCAATAAATAACTTTTATGGTTAAGCTGGTTGTTTCCCTCCCTCCCTCCCTGTCTCTTTTGTGTTTTTGGCTTCCCCATTTACTCTGCAGCAATGCTCCTCTTACCTAAGCTAGAGATCCCTGCAGTGCCCAAAAATCCTGTGGGGTTTTCTCATCAAGCGGGTTACTACCAGAACAATTGTAACGGGAAAGTGGGGATAGGGACGTGCTGAACCTGTGGCATAGGAGGGTGGCAACTTGGAAGTGCTGCTCGACTCAGACTGTTGTTCTTCGAGGTGTGTTGCATGTGTCTATTCTGCGATCCACCCTCCTGCCCTCTACATTGTAGTTTTCTGGAAAGAAGGAATGGAGGGGGCGAGGGGATGGCTGGGTGCCTTAACGACAGGTACCGCTGAGGGGAAAATTTTCAGCAACTGTGCTTGGGGTGCACACGCACCTAGAAGGAATGGACGTGTGCAACATGTCTCAAAGAACAACCTTTAGAGAAGGTTAGTAAACACTTTTTTAAAAATTAAAGCAGAGATTCTCACATGATCACCTGACTCCATGAGCAAGGCTGTAAGAAAAGCACCAAATATTGCAAGACGGGATAAAATGGCTAGATATGCAAACAATGCACTCACCTCAAGACACGAACAACTTCTTCAGGGTTCCTAGCTTCCTATCTTCCAGCTCTGCACTGCAAAGTGCTAACCAAATCCAATATGTAGACTGGAAATTCTTTGGGGGCAAGGACCTTGTCTCCTTATTTGAGGAGTGTCCTATGGAGACCAGGAATTTCTCTCCTTTTTAGGTGAATAAGCACACTCTTTGGCCTCTGTAAAAATAACAGATGATAGTTTTCTTTTAATGAAAGCTGAGATTCTGCTGTAATCACATGACTCCTGGAACTGGGGCACTAAGTAGAGACTTGTAGTGTCTATCCCTTATTTAAATGCCTCCCAAAGTCATTAATACATGCCAAGTTAGGGCTGCTCAGTGGTGCCTCATGTCCTTCCAGACTGAAAAGTGGCTAAACCTAAACCTTTGAAAACCAGGAAATACAAAGTGAATCCCATATGTGCCAAGCCCCTACTACTGGTGTTAAAACAAAACCAAAACTGATGTGTCCATGACTGAATACAGGGCTTCAGAGGGAAGACCAACCCAGAAACCCACGTGGACGGCAGACTACCTGGATTCCTAGGAGTTTCAGCAGTAATATTTTGGTTGCTGTTTTCAAACTCTTATTAAATGGAAGTGGGGAATGGTGTAATGATCAGTGCAGATAGCACCTCCACCAACAGCTGGTGCATCTTTATCTTAGTGTTAAGTTGTCTTGTTTTCATAGTGTGTGTTGTCCTGGTTGGGAAGGGCAGGGTTAAGGGTGGGGAGGCCACTAGTCCCGTATTAAACCAGATGGTCCTCTTTTTGAGAAGTGTGTCCTCCTTTCAGTACTGGGACAAAACCAGACATGGTATTGGATGGGGGACAATGTTCTGTCCCCTCTGACTCTTAGAAATGGCACCCTTCATGCAGTATGACCTCGCACGTAGGTCATGCCAGTGAGGACAGCGCATTCTTAAAAACAGTGGTCTCCGTGTGGCGTGACTTCGCACTCACCATGAGTATGAGGTCACACCAGCAGGGGCAGGGTGGGTATGCTCTTAAAGACAATGTCCCCCATGTGGCAGGATCTCACACTCACGTTGTCTCCACAGTTTCTGGAACTATCATAGGCTTTTCTGTAGGGTTGCCACCTTTCTAACTGCTGCTAACTGGATCCTTGAAGCCCTGCCCCTGCCCTGCCTCTTCCACCAGTCTCCCCCTCTTCACTCAGGCCCCGCTCCTGGATTTGCTCCCCTTGCTTGCTGGATTGTCTCAACCTCCCCGCTCCTGCCACTGGGCTCCCTCTGTTCTGGGGCTGGGGTGGCAGCTGCTGCAGCCTGACAAGGAGCCTGCCTGCAGGCAGGAGGTGATCCGGGCTGGCACGGGTTAATGACCTGGCGTCTGATCCCGACTCGGGGTCATTGGACTTTGTACTGACCAGACACTGCCACGTCCCCATTTTGACCAGACTTTCCAGTCAAAAAGCTGGCACCTGGCAACCTTAAATGGCACCTGGACACAGAAGCGAAAAACCGGACTGCCCAAGTAAAACCCAGACAGGTGGCAACCCTAGTCCTCCGGAACATGTGAGCGGCCACCTTGGTTCAAGGGCAGAGGAAACCTGTCTTACCCGTGTGTATTGGAGTTGTTAGTTGCAGTGTCCTGGTAAATCCCGTGATTTCTCTGGTTGACCTATGGCAGTATGTCTGGTGAATGAGAAGAAACCACCACAGAGGTGGTCAAATAAACCCATGGACGGTGAGTTATATGGGCCCATGGTGCCCATGCGCCAGAAAATTCAGGGCCTGGGGGCCCGGCTCCACCAATGTTTGGGGTTGGGTCTCTCCCCCAGCCCCGCCTGCCTCCCCCGCATGCCCCCCCGGAGCGTCCCTGCCTGTGCCCTGGGCAGCAGGCTGCTGCCTGCCACACCGCACCGTGCTCCCTCGCCGGCCGCTGCCAGCTACAAAAGGGACGGGCACCCGCGGCAGGATGAGGTGGCTGCACAGCTGCCGCCTGTGGAGGGAGGAGGCGCACACAGGATGGCAGCCCCCCCCGCCCCCCCTAGCACCCACCACAGGGGAGGCGAGGGGGCTTCCTGGACCAGAAAGGGGCCTGGCTCCTAGAGATGTGCAGTGACAGTGCTGGGTGAGTGTGCTGCTGGGGGGGGGGGGGAATGGGGGGACTGTGGCACCCTCCTCTCTGGCCCGAGCCGTGGGGCAGCCTGCCTCCTCCCCAAACCCCTCATCCCCAGCCCCACCCCAGAGCTCGCACCCCCAGCCAGAGCCCTCACCCCCCTGCACCCCAACCCTTTGCCCCAGCCCTGAGCCCCCTCCTGCACCCTGAACCCCACATCCCCAGCCCCACCCTGCAGCCCTCACCCCTGCACCCCAACCCTCTGCCCCACCCACACCCCAAGCCCCTCAGCCCCACACCGCAGCCCTCACCCCCGCACCCCAATCCTCTGCCCCAGCCACACCCCAAACCCCTCAGCCCCACCCCGCAGCCCTCACCCCAACCCTTTGCCCCAGACCTGAGCCCCCTCCTGCACCCTGAACCCCACATCCCCAGCCCCACCCTGCAGCCCTCACCCCCGCACCCCAACCCTCTGCCCCACCCACACCCCAAACCCCTCAGCCCCACCCCCGCACCCCCAACCCTCTGCCCCATCCACACCCCTCAGCCCCACCCCCGCATCCCAACCCTCTGCCCCACCCACACCCCAAACCCCTCAGCCCCACCCCGCAGCCCTCACTCCCGCATCCCAACCTTTTCCCCTAGCCTTGAGCCCCGTCCTGCACCCTGAACCCCAGATCCCCAGCCCCACCCTGCAGCCCTCACTCCCACACCCCAACCCTCTGCCCCACCCACACCCCAAACCCCGCAGCCCTCACCCCAACCCTCTGCCCCACCCACACCCCAAACCCCTCATCCCCAGCCCCACCCCAGAGCTCGCACCCCCAGCCAGAGCCAGCACTCCATGCACCCCAACCCTGAGCCCCCTCCTGCACCCTGAACCCCACATCCCCAGCCCCACCCTGCAGCCCTCACCCCTGCACCCCAACCCTCTGCCCCACCCACACCTCAAACCCCTCAGCCCCACCCCGCAGCCCTCACCCCTGCACCCCAACCCTCTGCCCCAACCACACCCCAAACCCCTCAACCCCACCCCGCAGCCCTTACCCCCGCACCCCAACCCTCTGACCCACCCACACCCCAAACCCCTCACCCCCGCACCCCAACCCCCTGCCCCACCCACACCCCAAACCCCTCATCCCCAGCCCCACCCCAGAGCTTGCACCCCCAGCCAGAGCCGGCACCCCATGCACCCCAACCCTTTGCCCCAGCCCTGAGCCCCCTCCTGCACCCTGAACCCCACATCCCCAGTCCCACCCTGCAGCCCTCACCCCCGCACCCCAACCCTCTGCCCCACCCACACCCCAAGCCCCTCAGCCCCACCCCGCAGCCCTCACCCCTGCACCCCAACCCTCTGACCCACCCACACCCCAAACCCCTCACCCCCGCACCCCAACCCCCTGCCCCACCCACACCCCAAACCCCTCACCCCAACCCCCTGCCCCACCCACACCCCAAACCCCTCATCCCCAGCCCCACCCCAGAGCTTGCACCCCCAGCCAGAGCCGGCACCCCATGCACCCCAACCCTTTGCCCCAGCCCTGAGCCCCCTCCTGCACCCTGAACCCCACATCCCCAGTCCCACCCTGCAGCCCTCACCCCCGCACCCCAACCCTCTGCCCCCCCCACACCCCAAGCCCCTCAGCCCCACCCCCGCAGCCCTCACCCCTGCACCCCAACCCTCTGACCCACCCACACCCCAAACCCCTCACCCCCGCACCCCAACCCCCCCACACCCCAAACCCCTCACCCCAACCCCCTGCCCCACCCACACCCCAAACCCCTCATCCCCAGCCCCACCCCAGAGCTTGCACCCCCAGCCAGAGCCGGCACCCCATGCACCCCAACCCTTTGCCCCAGCCCTGAGCCCCCTCCTGCACCCTGAACCCCACATCCCCAGTCCCACCCTGCAGCCCTCACCCCCGCACCCCAACCCTCTGCCCCACCCACACCCCAAGCCCCTCAGCCCCACCCCATTCATTTTGTTATGTGCATCAGCACGCAGGCGGAGTGCGGTGTGAGGGCAGGACTCGGACCGGCTCTGGGCACCCCCAAACCTGATACAACCCTGCCCCCCCCGCCTCTCGTCCCCGGCGCTGGCGGGGACCCGGCCGGGGGGTCGGGGGAAGCGAATAGCGGCGGAACTTCCCCTCCTCGGCGGCGCTTGTTTCCTCCGGCAACTCAGCGAGCCCGGTCCGCCTCTGGCTGCGGGCGCGACTCCGGGATCCCGGCTGGTGAGAGCCCCGGGAGCCGCCTCCCTCCCCGCCGCGGTGAGCCGGGGATCGGGGCAGGGAGGGAGAGACGAGCTCCGCCGCGGGCCGAGCCTGAACCCAGCCCAGCCAGCTCCCGGGGAGCACAGGGCGCGGGGGGGTCTCTGCAGCTGAGCCTTGCAGGCTCCTCCCCACGCAGCCGGTTCCCGGGGTGCAGAGAGGGGAGGTCTGAGCCCGCAACGCCCGGGAGGGGCCCCGGCCAGCCGGCCAGCAACTGTCCCGCAAAACAACGCGTGACAAAAAGCCTTGGTGGGGCAGACGCAAAAGGGCCGGTGCAGAGGGAGCCGTGTCCACACGCCCAAGGTGTCCTGCTTCAACCACCCCTGCGTTTAAAGCGGTCCAGTGCCCCCAGCCCAGCATATGGATATAATTATTTTATTACAAAGGTGCTTGCAGGGAAAAGGGAGTAAGCTACCCTGGTGTAAGGCAAAGCTCAGATTCAGTTCTCCTAAATTCAAGTTATGCTTTTTTTAAAAGGCCTGTGTAGCAATGTACAGCAGTCGGCTGAGAAAAGGAAGGAAGACCTTGAGCCATGTGCATCCATCACACCGTTACTTCTTATTTCTGCCGCTGCCCAGGCAAACAGGACGACCGCCCTGATGACGGGGACGCTGCGATTGTCTCCACCACAGAGCCTTGGCCACCAGAGCCTGTGGGTGGAGACACCGCGTACGCCCACAGGAGGAGGTTTTCTGCCAGCATGGCTGCCCCACCTCCTCAAATGACGCTAGTTACACCAGTGTTTCTCAGATGGGGGGGCCACCAGGGTCTTTTCTTGGGGCCACAGCCTCCTGGGCAGTGATTGGGGGCACGAAGCAGTGACCCCTCCCCCAGGACCCCCAGCAGGGGTTGGATCCTGCCCCCTTCTGGAGCCAGAAATGCCAGAGGAGCAGGCAGCTGGTGTGAGTTCCCCACCTTCCTAGGGGCGGTGGGGCTCGAGCTTTCGACTTCAGCTCTGCAGTGACAGGTGGCCGGCTCCAGACATGGGGCTTTGGCATGGTCCGTCAGCTGGTCCTGGGCTCATCGCTCCCACATCGTCCCTGGTTCCCACTGCCTCCTCTGGCCCTGGGCTTCGGTCATGTGGCAGCAGACTCCATCCCCCAGGCTCTGGCTGTGGGGCCCCAGGATCTGGCTGTGGGGCTTTAGGATCTGGCCCCAGCCACGTGGCAGCAGGTGCCAGCCCCAGGATCCACCCCTCTCAGCCCCCGCCTGTCGCCCCTGGTCACCCGCTGTCTCTTCCATCCCTGGGCTCTGGCTGCGCGGCAGCGGGCTCTGTTCCTGGCGCCGGCCTCAGGCTCTGGTCATGGGGCTCCAATATCTGTGTGTGGGGCTTTGGGCTCTGGCCCTGGGCTCACCCCCCGATCCTCGCTGCGTCCTCCAGCCCCGGCCTTTGGCCAGGCAGCGGCGGGCTGTCTCCCGGGCTCCATCTGTGGGGCCTTGGGATCCAGCCATGGGGCTTTAGGCTCTGTCCCCAGGCTCACCACCCCCTGCCCATCACCCCTGGCCCCCACTGCCTCCTCCATCCCCAAGCTCTGGCCTCACGGCAGCAGGCTCCATCCCCAGGCCCTGGCCTCTGGCTGTGGGACCCCAGTATCCAGCCGTGGGGCTTTGGGCTCTGGCCCCGTGCTCATCACCCTCCATCACCCCGGACCCTGCTGCTTCCTCTGGCCCCGGTCCCCAGCCACGGGGCTTTGGACACCGGCACCGTGCTCAACCCCACCCATTGCCATTGGCCCCTGCTGCTTCTCCTGGCCCCTCACCCACCCCCCATCCTCCCTGGCTGCCACCGCCTCCCTACCCACCGTCCCATCCAGGTCTTTGTCCCACGGCTTGCTGGGGCTGAGTAAATCTGCTGTGAAAAGTGAAATGTTTATGTTTTTTAATAGCGCTTTTCACTGCCTCCCAGTTAGCTAGCAAGTCTGCTTCTGTGAAAAGTGATTTTAACAAACATACAAATATCACTTTTCACAGGAGCAGACTTACTAGCTAGCAACTAAAAAAGTCTTTTAGACAACTAAAAAAGCAAAAGAAACAACAACAAAAGACAAGAAGAACATGCAAAGCACGTTAGTTTTGTTTCTATTCTGTTTAGGTCCAGTAAAGAATAGAGACAATTGTACAATATTTTTATTACCGAGTTTGCAAATAAAAAAACCCCATCATAAATAAATTACAATGATGTGGACATGTGTATGTGCATATTTATTTGTTTTTCCTAACGTTAATTAAGTATGTTAGGAAAAATTGTCAGAGTGGCTGCCAGCAAGGGATGATTGTTATAGCAGATGTTTCCTGTTGGGGAATCAACAGGGAAGAATGATGGTGGGGTAAGAAGGATCCGCTGAGAGATACTATCTTAAAGAATTGTTAGTTCTCCCAGCTGTCCTCTAACCATGTCTTCACACATAAATCAGGTAAACTGAGAATATATAGAAATGACACTGCAACATATGTTTCTGGCAGAATATGCTTGGCAATGAGGTTTCCTTTGTCTGAAACCCTATCTAATCAAATTGATACAGAAACTTAGTTGGCAGAGTGAAGACTGCACATCCCTTCCAGATGCAGGACAGACACGTCAGCAAGAAAGGGTGGTAGTGTAGCTATTTATTTCCTTATAGTGCTGTACTAATCTCTGATGAATAATCTGAGATTAAATAATTCCAATCTTGAGTCATTAATTCAGACATGCAACAGCTTTAAGGTCAAAGGTTCCAATGAAAGAAAGCCTGTGAAGAAATAATTTCTTTGGTGCAATTGGTTGAAAACCAACTATAGTTGACAAGCCGTGGGTCCCTTGTTTAATAGGTGTTTTCTGAGTTACAGAAATATTTTACCCTACTAGAATCTCTGTTTTCCAGTTTCTAGAAACCACCAAGAAGAAAGTCCATCAACTCGGAGACTCAGCAACAGTAAGAAGAACCGCCAGAGTTCATGGCTGGACTCGGAAAGAAAGAAAGCTGTACGTGCTTATTTCCTTTTAGTCGCCATTCTGCCTAGTGATATTTACATCCAAACTTGTATTTCACACTGCTGTGTCTAGCAGAATGAAGTTGTGGTCCATGGGTAAACTGCTGAGGCCCTGTGGTAATACATGCTACATTACATGTATACCTGTTGTAATAACTGGGGCCAGATAGGCCTACCCCAACTGTGGAAAAATGGCTAAAAATTTATAAAATGTTCCAGGCACCTATAACAAATGCTAATGGGAAACAGTTTGAAAGGGAGACAGACAAATTGGGTTACTCCCAACAAACATGCCTGCTGATCTAACTCAGAGTGTGTCAAGATCATGACTGGTAAACAAGAGGAATGTGGGATCAGAAATCAGTGAGGGAAGTTTTAAGCCACAGCCTCAGTTTTAAGTTTGTTTTAGCTACAAATGAAGTGAGTTGTAAATTCTTAGCTTTGTTAATCTCTGAAAGGTTTAACTGTGATTTTGATAGCATCTAATCAAATGAGATTTGTAAATCCTATAAATCTAGGATTGTGTTTCGATCGTGTCTGGTAAACAACAGGGGTATGATCAGAAATCAGTGGATCAAAATTGGTTAAGGTTAACGTACATACTCAGTAACTGAAAACTCTGGCAAACTACCAATTGTTATCCAAGTGTGTTTGAGCTTGTTTTGTCTGAGCATGCAAAGCCATCTGCTAATGTTCTTGTTTAAAAAATCAGAGGTTTTTGTAACTTTGTTTGATAGTTATTACTGGTTTTAAAATCTTTGTACAAATGCTTTGTTTCTCGTTTTCTTTTGTAGTTTCTCTAACTGGTAATAACTTGGAACCTTCAACATAAAGGCATTTTTAAGCAAAATGCAAAAGTGATAAAGTGTTTTAAATTGTTAAAGGTTAAGTTGCTAAAGCAAACTTCTGCTTAGATAACATTTTTTAACTGAATGGCAGCTTAATTCAGGGCTGTAAATTGAGTTTCAAACCACCGGAAAGGGCTATTGCAACCCTCAAGATTTTTGTGATTGGAAAAACAAAACAATGTGTTGGCGGTGGATTTTGTTATGTGAAACAGCACAGTTCTAGTGGTTCGAATTAGACTCTGGGATGGGCTAATTTGCCTCAGTGGCTGTGAAATGTTGGTGGGCAAGGTCTATCATAGACTAAAATGCCAGTGTATTTTACTACCTTTGGGTGTAGCAAATGGCTCATGGATGCAAAACTGGTTCCAAAGAACATTAGTTGGTTGCTTCTTTTTAAAAGGAGGAAATATACAGGGGTAAAAATGACACGAGGGCTAAAATTTCTGCTAGTCAGCAAGTTTAACCACTTGTGTGTGACATTTTCACCATTTCTGTAAATGTGCAGCTTTAAAAAGGCAAGAGGAGTAGGGGGATGGGGGGAAAGATTTTCAATCTTTCCCCAATCTGGACTTTGAGCAAAAAATGTGACAAGAGCTAGTCTGTTTCTAAAAATCTGAAGACAGAGACCAACATCAGTTTTAAGTTTGTTTTAGGTACAAATCAAATGAGTTGTAAGTTCTTATCTTTATTAACACTCGAAAGGTTGAAATGTGATTTTTTTTGTAGCATCTAATCAAATAAGATTTGAAAATCCCAATTTTGGGATGAGGAATTTGCAAACCTTGCAATACAACCAAGTACCTTTTCCCCCGTTTCTACAACAGCAGAGTTGCGAGTCAGCATGCGAGACAGAACTGCATTTTCTATCTTTGCTGTTCTTTCCTCTCCCTTTTTCTGTGCATTTGTCTGGTTTTGTCTTCACAGAAACGAGATCAGACTCTAACAACAGAAGCAACAGCTCCAGCCCATTTCAACTAACTGCTTCTCTTCCCCCCCCAAAAAGGAATTTTGTTACCATCCATAACAATATCAAAAAGACTGCTTGTCAGGGTTTCCTCCTCCCCCCTCTTGAATACTCTCTACAGCTAAAGGAAAATGGAATAAGGCATATAGTTGAAATGAAAGCCTTATGGAGTACTTTACATTTCAAATCCCTTAAGGGTCTCGAAAAAGGAACAGTTAAATCTGGATCTGGTACAAGTTCAAACAAAAAGGTTGCCATTAAATAAAATTCTGTAAATTTATACTCATGAGAAAATTGTAAAACTTTTGAGTGATGCCCCTGAAATGTAGAAGGATTATGTTACAAGCGAAGCTCTTTGCGGGTAAAGACTGTCTTTTTGTTGTGTCCTTTTTCAGTGCCTGATACAATGGGGTCTTGTCCCATGATTAAAAGTCCTGAACTCTAAGGTAACACAAATAAATAATAATAATGTTCATTAAAAAGCGTAAAAAGAGCCATCTATCTGCAGTAGTGCAATTGTGATCTGATATTCCAAGGTGCCATGATCAGTCAAATAAAAGGCAGAACTGAGGTAACATCACCTGAGTTCAGAAAGGGTTCACTAGGAAGAAAAAAGCAGCACAGGAAGGAAGAAGGCTTGGTTTGGGCAGAAGGCTACAAGGAAGAAATACAAAATGGAGGGATCTCTTCTAGTCATCAATGGGCAGAACCCAACTGATACTGGTGAAAACTGGAAGATGGAAATGTGGGGGGACACAGAGCTCCTTTCCTGTGTGTGGCAGGCCCATCGGCTTTCAATAACTCTGTTTAGTAGAGAATCTGAGAGGCACTTGTCACTGGCCCTCAGATGAAACCTTTGAACCTCACACAGAGCTAACAACGTCTATGTTTCCCAGGTTTCAGTTTGTGTGATTGGAAGAGAAGGGATTTCTGAGATGATGGAGCCCCTGTCCAATTCAATGTCTCAGATCTTCCACCACCCAGGACCACAACTGAGCTGTGACCTCAGAGAGAAACTGCAGTATTCACGGCAACTAGGTAACAAGTTGTGTGTGCAAAAACAACGAGGAGTCCTTGTGGCACCTTAGAAACTAACAGATTTATTTGGGCATAAACTTTTGTGGGCTAGAACCCACTTCATCAGATGCATGGAGTGCAAACTAAAGTAGCAGGTATATAGTGATACAAGAGGGCCAGGAAGCAGTGAGAGAGTGCTAGAGGGGAAATATATAAACACAAGGCTAATTAAGGTGTGGTTCCCTGTAGACTAGGGAAGGTGGCTGCAGGTTAATTGGAGCACCTGCAATCAATGAAGGCCCTGTTAGGAACCTAATAAAACCCCCTGCTTCAGGCAGACAGGGGAAGAGGAGAGGACTGGAGATTGGAGGTGTGCTGTGAGACCTGGAAAAATCAGAGAACTGAAGTAAGGGGGACCCTGTCCAGTATGGGAGGTAGACTCCCTTCCCCAGCATCTAAGGACTGCAGGTACCCCACCCAAGGGGGAAGAGGGTAAGAACCCATAGGGATTGAGAGGGGCTGGGGCTCAGAGTGAGGAGCAAACTCAGACCCCTCTCCTGCTTCCCTCCTTTACCACCTTCCTGGGCCACTAGTGGGGCCATCGACGCCCCAAGAACAGGGGCAAGGGGTGGCATCTTAGCTCCCCGCCAAGAAAAGCGCAGGACCCACCAGAGTAACACTGGCCATCTTGTCTCTATCTATCTACACACAGAGTACGTGAAAAGATGGGAGTTGCCTTACCAAGTGGAGGGGTCAGTGCTAATGAGAACAATTCAATTAACAGTAGAATACCAAGGCAGGAAAAATCACTTTTGTAGTGGTAATGAGGGTGGCCCATTTGAAACAGTTGACAAGAAGGTGTGAGTAATAGTAGGGGGAAATTAGTTTTTGTAATGACCCATCCACTCCCAGTCTTTATTCAGGCCTAATTTGATGGTGTCCAGTTTGCAAATTAATTCCATTTCAGCAGTTTCTCGTAGGAGTCTGTTTTTGAAATTTTGTTGTTGAAAAATTGCTACTTTTAAGTCTGTTATTGAGTGACCAGGGAGACGGAAGTGTTTTCCTAGTGGTTTTTGAATGTTATAATTCCTGATTTGTGTCCATTTATTCTTTTGTGAAATCATCAGAACAGCATTTGGTTGTCTCGTGGCATGTGGAGAGCGGGTAGGTCCCTGTTCCTAGTAGAGTCGTAAGATCCAGGAGCATGTGTGTCTGTGTGGGTCCCTCTAATGGTATCTTTATTATCCTTTAGATCTTCCTGTGCCTTATTTGTTTGTTCCTTATGATAAGGGGAATGAAGGAGACCAGGATATGGTGGCCTTGCTCCGTAGGTTTGGCTTTATGGTGAGTTGTGAAATGGTGCTTGCTTGCAGTGGCCTGAGCTGGGGCTGAGTTCTGGCGGGATGGGGAGCTTTGAGGGCAGGCTGAGTCAGGCATCTCTTCCTGTTTGGAGGAGGTTGGGATAGTGGGAAATGGGGTTCCTTCCCCCCCAATGCTGCATTGACAGTGATGGCTTTGCCCTTTTCTGCTCCGCTTGTGTCTGAGTGGTGGGATTGTGGCCAGAGCAGGCAGGTGCTGAGTGGAGGACACATATCATTTCAGATGCCAGTGACGTTTGAGGAGGTGGCCGTGTACTTCTCTGAAGATGAATGGGCTCTTTTGGATGAAAAGCAGAGGGAGCTCTACAGAGATGTCATGCAGGAGAATTACGAGACTCTCCTCTCATTGGGTGAGCAGTTGCTATCGTCCCTGTAGTGTAGACATGGCCTAAATCTCCTATAAGGAACACAACCCATTTCCCACCAGACAATGCTCACAAACCTAAATTTGAAAAAGTGATAATCTGGGGCATACCATAGTTTTAGTTCAGATCCTGACACAGGAAAAAGAACACACGATACACCCTGACTTCAAAACAACTTCACTCCCTCAAACATGGCAATCCCCTGGGGACTAACTTGAAGGGAAAGGAGTCCAGAGATTGTATTTCAAAATCCTGTTGAGGTACAGACAAACCATCCCGATATCAAAATATAAATGCACAATTCTAATTAAATCTTGCGGATCTTAAACATAAAAGAACTTACAAGAAGTAAGGACATAGACCAGGAAATATAAAAATATTTAGGATTAGGAATGTTATCAGAGGCAAATCGCACCTGGAGCTGCACTAGCCAGAATGTCAAGATAACAAAATTTTTCATATGTTAAAAAAAAACAAAATGTTTACTGAATGAGGAGCAAACTAGGACAGAATTAAAACTAATACTCAATCTTTTTTCCTCTTCTTCACTATACACTCCCAGACTCTACCTGCATCACAAAATGAAGATCACCTCTTGAGATAGATTATTTAAAAACTGGACGTCACAATCCATGGGGACAGTTCACCAGATCTAAGAATGCGATCAGAATTCATTATCTTTAAAATTCAACCGGAATCGATGATAAAATAATGTAGTGCAATCTTTAAAAAGGAAAAGGAGGATCTGAATAAATCACCTCACTTCATCTAAAATCATGAGCAGTCCTCAAAGAATCAATCTAACATTCATGAGAAAAACAAACACCACATATTCACAAAATATTATAACTAACTCTATATGAGATATTTCTTATGAAAAACATATTATTTTTCTACTTTAAAATTTAACCCCACATATTTTTCACAATTAAGAATAATGAATCATAAAGTGTAAAATTAGATTTCCAACTAACAATCATTTAGTCACTACACCCCATCTCCTGTTTTCAATATCTTCATAAATATCTAATACACTCTCACAAATTTCAATATAAACTAAGTGATCTGGAGGGAGGGATAGGATACAAAGATAAAAATTGGAGGATTGCCAAAAAATCTATAGTTCAATAAGATAAGTGCAGGGTCCTCACTTAGACAAAACAATCACACTACAGACTAACGAATTCTAGCACAGTTCTCAAAAACTAGGGACAGAAATATAATCAATTCAAAAAATATTTTGATATAAGTAATACACAGATCATACCCTTATACATTTGAGCATCTATATCATTTTCACACTTAAAAGAGTGATAAATTGAGAGAGCACGAAGGCAACAAAAAGATTAGGGGTCTGGAACATAGAGTTATGAGGAGAGCTGAGGGAGCTGGGATTGTTTAGCTGCAGAAGAGAAGAAGAGGGGGATTGATAGTGTTTTCAACTACCTGAAAGGGGGTTCAAAGAGGGGCTAGACTGTTCTCAATGGTAGGAGATGACAGAACGAGGAGTAAGGTCTCAAGTTACAGTGGGGGAGGTTTAGATTGGATATTAGGAAAAACTTTTTCACTAAGAGGGTAGGAAACACGGAAGGTTACCTAGGGAGGGGTAGAACTCCTTCCTTGGGTTTTAGGCGGGCAGCGGCGGGGTTAACGGAGGCTGTCGGCGGGGTTGGAGGACGGGGTCCACCTTCGTCTGATCTGCTCGCCAAAGGGGGTTTCATGAATAATTGACAACCTATATGGATTGGTTTCAGAGGAACAGCCGTGTTAGTCTGTATTCGCAAAAAGAAAAGGAGTACTTGTGGCACCTTAGAGACTAACCAATTTATTTGAGCATAAGCTTTCGTGAGCTACAGTAGCTCACGAAAGCTTATGCTCAAATAAATTGGTTAGTCTCTAAGGTGCCACAAGTAAACCTATATGGATTATGTCTTTCCCCTTCATTCCAAGATTTTCTTTGCTGTTCTTTGTAGTTAAGTGATCGACAAATACTTGCCATGTTGTGATGCATGTACCTCTTTCCATTGAGCAGGATTTCCTATTGCTAAACCAGATGTGCTGTCCCAGATGGAGCGAGGGGAAGAGCCATGGTTCCCAGATCTTCAGGGCTCTGAGGAAAGGGAAATCCCAAGAGGCACTATGACAGGTGAGGAATGAGTGACACCAACTGAGAAACCATCTGGGACTGAGGGAAAAGCTGGAATTCCAGCAAACCCACTGAGTCCTCATCTGACTCACTATTGTGCCCTGTCCTCCTGGCAGGTGTCACTCGTGGCTCCCACTCGTTCTGCCTGACCCCTGGCAGAAGCCTTTTCCTCAGGGCTCAGGTGGGACTTTGAGGCAGAACTGACCCCTTTTCCCTTCTGTGGAAAGATTTGGGGAATTTACTTCCTACCTGTCAGGTTCTCTTATCGGTGACCAATCCCTTTTCTGCCCCCTCCGTCCCCAGCACATGGAATGAATCCCATCTGGATTCTCTCTCCCAACAGGTACCGGCATAGCAAGTGAAAACAAGGAGGAGAGTCCCCAGCAGGAAGGGGCTGTGAGAGTGAAGATTCACAGGATGTTTTCAGGGAGACTACAGTGCCCTGACGGGGCAGATGCCAGTGAGAGCCATGGCAGGGCAGGACGGCAGAGGGGAGACCCGCCAGGCAGGAGTAAATCCACTCACAGCAAAAGAGGTTTGAGGAAATCCAAGGACACCAGTGCCCACCCGGTAATCCTTATGGGGGAGACACCAAATACTGTCAATGAACAGAGGGCAGGTTTCAGTAACAGTTCGCTCCTTATTCAGCACTGTCAGCAAACTGATGCAGAAAAAAGTGTCTACAAGTGTTATGAGTGTGGCAAAGGCTTCTCTCAACAAGAAAACCTTCAGATACATCTGAGAATTCACCCAGAGGAGCGACCTTATAAATGTAATGAATGCGGGAAAAGCTTCAGACATAAGACAAGCCTTGTTCTTCATTGTTACACAGTCCACAAGTCAGAGAGACCCCATAAGTGTCCAGACTGTGGCCAGCTCTTTATTCTAAAAGACAGACTTATTCAGCATCAGAGAATCCATTCAGGAGAGGTGTCTCGAGGGTTTAATGATGGGATGGTGAGTGAGAACAGAGACAAGAATCCCCAGAAGGAAGGGCTTGTGAGAGCAGAGCAGGACAGGATGTTGTTGGGGAGACCTCGGAGTCTTGAGTGGGGAGAAGCCTGTGGAAGTGCGGGAGCTGCACGAAGGCAGCACGGGACCCCAGAAGGGGAGAGAGGCAGCGTATCTATTCAACATAAACAAATTTCCAAGAAACTGAACTGCCCCATTGGCCACCAGAGCACCAATCAGGGAGCACAACCGAGTACAAGTAGTGATCAGAAAAGCTTCAGTAGAAGCTCAGCAGTGCATCAGAAAGTCCGTCCCAAAGAGAGACGTTACAGCTGTGCTGAGTGTGGGAAAAGCTATTACCACAACTCGCACCTCCGATGGCATCAGAAAAAACACACAGGAGAGAGATCCCATGTATGCGCCGACTGTGGAAAGAGCTTTAACTGCAGATCGTCACTCAGCAGACATGAAAGGATCCACAAAGAGGAGAAAAACTACAGTTGCACTGACTGTGGGAAAAAATTCAGAGAGTACTTGCACCTTGCTTCCCATCAGACAATCCACACAGGAGAGAGAGCCTATCAGTGTCCTGACTGTCACAAAAGCTTCAGACTGAAAGGGGTCCTTTGTACTCACCGTAAAACCCACACAGGAGCTAAACCTTTTAAATGCACTGAATGTGGGCAAGGCTTTGGGCGGAAAGAAACCCTACATAAACACATGAGGATCCACACTGGGGAGCGGCCCTATAAATGCACCCAGTGTGAGAAAAGCTTTCGTCAGAAGTTCTCCCTTTCCCAGCATGAGTTAATGCACTGCGGAGGGAGGCCTCACAAATGTACTGAATGTGGGAAAGGCTTCAATCACAAATCAAACCTTGTTCAACACTTGGCAAAACTGCACTTGAAAAAGAAACCCCACACCGCAAATGTAGCTTCAGATTAAATAGATCTACAATCGTAATGGTAGAAAACAGTGGAGTGGTTTGTTTGTTTGTTTTTTTAATTCTGGTGAGACACTTCTAAAATACAAGGCTTAAGGAGGATGGGTGGATAGTATTGGCTTATTTTTGATGATGGGAGGAGGACAAAGCTGATGAAGAGAGGAACTGATCTTTCGATGGGGTGGGGGGATGGTTAGTGAGAATTTCAAGGCAGTTAAGTTGAATTTTGGAAGTTGCGCAGCGGTATGCCATCTCTGGATGCAACGCATGGATTGCATTCCCATGTGAGCCCTGAATATGACTTCCTGACTGGCTGTGCCAGTGGGACGATTCCATCCGGCCCCTGAACACACAGGGAGGATGCCATTGGGTAGAACAAAATGGCGTCCTCCGCACATTGTGAAGACACGGGTATTTTAACATGGTACTCTATAAATGGATTAAAACCTGGTGAACTGAGATGTCACAAAATGTAACTGTAATCAGGGAATCCTCATTGAGCAGGTGTGTTTCTAATGGGGTCCTGCAGAGATCAGTTCTTGATTCTCTGCTTTGTAACATTTTTATCAATTACCTGGAAAAAAACCCATAGAATGATCACTGATAAAATTTGCAGATGACACTCTAAACCAGAGGATGGTAAATAATGAAGAGGACAGGTCTCTGATTTAACAGTGAACTGGATCACTTTGCACACTGGGCACAAGAAAACAGTATGCATTTTAATGTGGCTAAATGTAAATGTATACATCTAGGACAAAATATGTAGGCCATACTTATAGGATGGGGGATTCCATCCTGGGAAGGTGGGACTCCGAAAAAGATTTCGGATTTGTGGTGGATAATCGGCTGAATATGAACTCCCAGTATGATGCTGTCTCCAAAAGAACTCACGCAATCCTGAGATGCATAAACAGGGGAATATCAAGTAGGAACAGAGAGGTT